ATGTTTTCCACATGACAATACTGAATTACTGAAAGAAAAAAGTTAATTGGATGACTGTCTTTCTCTTCCTTAACTCCCATGACCCCTTCAAACAGGTTCTAAATTCATGTTTTAAAGTATTCTCTGTTTTTCCTTTCTTTCAGTCAACTCAACATCTGTGACAGGCTCACAAGCACACACAACCCATACATACCAGACTTCCTTCTGGCACTGTCTTTGGGTTGAAAAATAATATAAGAAGTCAGTATAGCACAGTAAGAAATAAATAACTGTATTTATAACTTGGAGTTAAAGCACGCATGGTTAATCTAAGCCTTATGAGATCTGGTTTAGCTATGCATAATTATAGGAAACTAACGGGTATCTAACAGTGTGAAGTAGGAAATGTAACTCCCTAAGATATTGCTTTTTGAAAACTAATTTCTACATGAGCAAATTGTTTATGTAATTTCTCCCTTCCTGTTTTAGTTTTCTGCTCTTAGAACCTAAATTACTAATAAAATTAACTGGCAAGTGCTATGGTTTTTTGTGGGTTTTTTTTGATATTCAGGAAATACTACAGTCTCCTGGGATTATAGCAGCATACATATGCTGGACACATATTTCACCTCAATGCTAGATTTAAGTAGGAAATTTTCAGCCTGAGAGAGAATACACAGATTTGTTTCCTGGACAATGGATTGAAATATTCACTGCCATTTCAGGCATTACTGAATGATGGTCTGTTTCAGGAGTTTCCAGACGTCAGCAGTAGGGCTACTTTCCACAACAGCACTCTGACTGCAGAAGATAAAAGAATATTTGTTCCTTTTTTTTTTGCGGTGGAGGAAAACAATGAGAAAAGCAGGAAGGCAGCAATAATGCAGAAATCTGGAGGTGGTGATAAAGGGTAGGGAGAATGGAGAAAGTTGCATAAATAAATCCATTCTGGCCAAAATCAGGCAGGTGATAACCATAGGTATATGACACTGAAGTGTAAATCATCTTTTAAAAATTAGATAATCAAGGAAAATTTTAAATTTCATTAGGCGTAAGAAAAAAAATTATTTGAAATACAGAAAACAAACCAAAGCATTTCAAAGCTTTAGAACACAAGTTCATGCTGTTTTTTCTGAGTGCACTATACAAACCTTAAAAAGAAGAAAGGACACTGCATTTGTTCAAAAGAATTCTGTAAAGTACACCTAATTAATACTGACATGTTATTGCTTCCCTCTTGACATCTTGTGAACAGTCAGAGCTAGCCAAATAGCAAGCTGGTATAACCTCTGTCTTGGAGAAAATTTCAGTTAGTGACAAACAGTAAAAAATAGCACCTGAGAATAAGGCAGAGTTTAAAATGAGCATTGCTCAACAAAATAAAGTGAATGAATATATGGATTAAGACATTAACTGTGCAGGAAATAATAATTTAGTAATAATTTAGTTCTACAAGGAACTGCAGAGAATTTAAACAGCATTTCTCCTTGGAAAAAGCCAGTTTTGTTGTTGGGCAGATTTAATTAATAAGCCCCCCCAACATTTTAGAAGGGCTGGAAATAGCAGTGAGCTTGAACAGGAACATGCTTCCCCTGCAGCCAGCTCTCCGTTGGAAGAGTTCCCATCTTAGGCAATGCAACAGGATGGCCCAAGCAGCTCCATTTCCCAAGTTTAGTTGAGCAGAGTACAGCTAAACCATTTTTCATTTACTCACGGATCAAGACTCCAACATTTGGTGTTATGTTGTCTTAGGCATTTCATTAGTAAGGTAAAAACCTTCCCTGTCAAACCCTCCCATTTTTGATCATCATTTTGTTGGCAAACAGATCTCTTTCATCACTCTTAACTGCTCCAATTTTCACACCATCATCAAGATCTCCTGGCTTTCATTTTAGTAACTCTGTTGAAACAGGAGTAAATCTGTGAAAACCTCAGAGACAACAGCAATATGAGTAAGAAATTGTTTCTTTAAAAATATTGTAATTTTGCAAAAATTATGATGCCAGCCAATAGAAAGCAATTTCATTCAGATATTACACTAGACTTCTGCAGAGTCTTCATGGTCACACTGATAGAACGTGGATCTGCATGAGAGACGAATGCAGGAGTCTTTTGGCAGAAACTCCAAAGCACAGCACATGCTGTAACTCCCACGAAGAAGTACAATGCTTCTGAAGCCACAAAACTAACCTTCCTGGTCTCCACTTACACAGTTCTCCAGGAATTTAAATTAACAAGGTTGTTTCTGTGTAGAAACAGTAGATCATATTCAGGAATAGGTACTTAGAGAGACTTATGGTGAAAATATTGTATGAAATGTTATATGAAAAATAGTAAATGTTTCTAAGTTCAGGTTTTCATCCTTCCTACCAGAGTGATGTAACTTCATTTAAAGGATGGATTATAAAAGGAGAAAACTCCTATTCCCAATATGCTATTGTTGTTTATACAAATTGAAACACACATTTTATTGAGCCTTTTTTTTTCCCTCTCTGGAGAACTACAAAGACCCTCAAATCAAAGATCCAGATTTTCAAATCATTAGCATCAGGAAATTATCTTGAGTGTCAGGTGTCACTCATTCTAAACTTTTAATAAAAACAAACAAAAGTCCTTCCAAACTGATTTCCAATACAAATATTTCAAGTAATTTCACTTGGAGAAGCAGGCCTGGATACAGATGCTACATGCTAGAATTCAAGCCATCCTGAAATCTTTCTCACTTTTTGTTGCATTTTATACATAAAGCTGCTATGATTTATAGTCAGTATTTGCCCCTCAAAAGGAAATTCACCAAAACTTCTCTAAAATTCACTAAATGTAGGCTCTAAGGTAACTTTTAAGTGGAAAAAGTTGCAGCTGATATTGCTTTCTAAGCATTGCTAGAAAGCCATATACAATATTTTTTAAATATCAAATTAATCACAGAAAATAAAGGGGTTATTTTTGCATAGAACCAATTCATAAACCAATTGTCAGCTTAGAATTGTGAATACAAATATTAGAAGTTAATGTTTGAGCTGTTGTCATAGAGCTGGTACCTCCACATTGCTGTTGTGATAGCTCCCCTACCACTGAGACCATATTTCTTACTAATAAATAGGCAAACATACATGAACAAAGTGTTGGGATGTACAGATATTCATCTATACACACAGGCAAGAGTAAACACTACAAGCTTCCTCATTAAAATACTTTTTCCAATAGTCAAAAGGTCAAGAAAGATACAGAAGTTTGTACTTTCTCCTACATGAAATTACATGGAAAAGTATTTTTATAGCATACGTCTTGAATATTTGTATTTAAACAGCATAAATATCTCAGAATATACTCAAAACATCATCCGAGAGCAGAAAAGGTGCAGAATAGTAGCAAAAGCTCTTAGAAACATAATTTTAAATTACAAGAATTCTTAAAAAGGACTGTACAATCCAATGAAATGAGCAGCTACCTTCAAACTAGGACTCAAACAGAAAATCTCATAAAGAGGAAACCTGGATTGGAAGCCCAGTAATTTTCATCTCACAACACATGTCTCTTAGACAGCTAATTTCTCAGTCATTGTGAAGAGCACTGTGTGTTTACAGACTATTTATTCAAAAGTGCATTCAGAGGAGGGGCAAAAAGACATCCAGCAAAACATGAGCGTTCATTTTCACTGAGTTGCACTGCTTTAGATTGACTGCCTGCTTCTTCAGGAAAGGCAATCTTTTGGCATTTGTCAGCAGGCTCAAATATCCTGAAATGCTGAAAAAGGTGAAACAAAAAACTTTCTCAATGCTGCCTTCCCATCTGATCTTTTGTCTCATATGTTTCCCTCAGGGATGCACAAGAAATTTCTCTGAATAATTCATAAGTACCTAGGCAGAAACCAGCTTCTATTTCTGAAAAAAAAAGATTGGGTAAGAAGCTGATTTCAGTTCTTCTGTTCTGCTCTATCTGGAAGAAAACTGTTTTAAATGTAATTTTCCTAACAATATGTACATGTATGTATCCATGAAGTATATAAACAAACATGTTTATACTGGGGAAGCTACCTTTGTACTCAGAGCTATACATTAATTTTGGGGCAAGACTGATTCTCTACCTTTCAAAAACCCAGGTGCTAACCTATCAGATAGCACTAAGGTAGTCAATAAACATGCAGAATGCAGAAAACAGCTGAACTCTGCACTGGTGTGGCCTTGAGTGCTGTGTGCAGCTTTGGGTACACAGTGTAAGAAGGAAATAAAGGAACTGAAGGCATCCAAAGGAGGGAAATGAGGATGGGGAAGGGCCTTGAGGGGGGGCCATGGGAGGAGGGGCTGAGGGCACTTGGTCTGTTCAGCCTGGAGGAGACTGAGGGGAGACCCCACTGCAGTTGGAGCTTCCTGTGAGGGGAAGAGGAGGGGCAGACACCGATCTCTTCTCTTGTGACCAGTGACAGACTGAAGGAATGGCCTGAAGTTGTGTCAGGAGAGGTTTAGGTTGGATATCAGGAAAACCGAGAGAGGAGTTGGGCACTGAACGGCTCCCCAGGGCAGTGGTCACAGCACCAGCCCGACAGAGTTCAAGCAGTGTTTGGCCAATGCTCTCAGGCACATGGTGTGACTCATGTGCAGGGGCAGGAGTTGAACTTGATGATCCTTGTAGGTCTCTTCCAAGTTAGAATTTTCTATGATTTTATGAATTTAACTTTTACTTCAGAATACCAAAATGACTGGTCTTTCCTGTACAGTATCCAACTCTTCTCTTACCATAAGCCACCTCCACTTCCCAATGGCATGAATATTAGGCAGATGCAAATTGCTTCTTCTTCTATAGTTTCTACTAGGATTGAAATAGCCTTGTGGCCTGCAAATCCTTTTATGTCCCAACACACAAAAGACAGAATAAATGCCAGGAAAGACTCTTTCCAAAGCATATAGAAGAATATAGATCCCAAACTCACAAGTTATGGTTACCTACATCAAGTCAGGACTTCACAGTACAGTGTCACCAGGTGAGATGACATTGCTCATGACCATGGGCTCAAGACTTACCAGCCTCTGCATGCTTTTCACATGGGTAGGACTAATGGATAAGGCCTCTTCATACCAGCGTTTGGCTTCATCAATGTTTCCACGCAGTTCAGCCACCTGACCCCTCATGTAGAGAACATAATGTGACATTGGAAAGAGATTAGCTGCTTCCTGGGTACATGCTGTAGCCTCAGCAGGCTTCCCAATTCCTATGTAGACTTCAGCTGTGGAAGGAATGTCAGGACCAATTAATGATTCTTGCTTCATCATACCATGACTAGATGTTGTCATATGTGCTTTATTTGCAAATAGTTTCACTTTAGATAAAGACTATTTTCCTAAAAAAATTTTGCAACTTAAAAGAGAAATTACTACCTAAATTATTTTAAATGCATTACTCTTTCAGGAAAGCTGCTTTTCTAAGTGTATAAGCACTTACAACTTCTAAATAGCTGTTTGAAACCCCAGAATACTCTTTCTAGTTTGCTATTTTTATCTTAAGTCTTGGATTTTTTTGTTGTTGTTGTTCTTGTGGAGAAGTCTCCATGGCATGGCAAGAGAGACTCCTCTCTCTAAGAAAGACTATTTTGGAAGTGGTAAACTGACTGAAAGCCCCAGGTTTTGCCTCTTTACGTTGTTAGTGAGAAAGAAAAGAGGGTGTGGGAGGAGTAGACGTGTTCTGAAGTTTTATTCTCATTTTCTTATTATTTTATCTTTTAATTCTGTTAAAAAAGTTTTCTTTATACCCTTTAAAGTTTTGAGCCTGTTTTGCCCTCCTCCTAATTCTTATCTCATAGCAGGAAATGAGTAAATAATTGTAGTGAGTGCATTGGCATTTGGCCAGTACTAAACCCACTACATTAACTGGTGCATTGGCTGGGAAAGAAGAAACTCAGATTGGCAAACCAAACTGCCAGGACCCACAATTAAAAAAAAAAAAAAAAAACACCAGAAAAAACCCCACCAAACAGAAAATAAGTAGTGGAACAAGCTGCCCCAGAAGGCTGAGAAATTATCAGCATTATAGATGCTAAGAGTTACTGTAGATGGTCATCTGTGGCAGTTTATAAATATTTAAAGTCAATGCTGCCACAATGCAGAGCAGGAGACTTCACTACACCCTGTTGGACCTTGTCCTATTCTAATCTGTGTTGCTTTTGAGTAGACCAAATGAGATCACTATTATTAATCACTGTAATTGCTTTCTTTCCAATCTTCTGGGCTTTTTCTCTAAACCACTAAACCATTTATAACTGGGAGCCATTACCCTACAATGACTTTCATGCCACAAAACTGTAGATGTAAATAGGTAAATTTAAATGCTATATAAATGCTAAATAAAGCACGGTTTTGTTGAAAACACGAAAGAAAAAAAATATGTCACTGAAAAATTCTCTGAAAGCAGAACAAAATGTAACAATTGCTGGCTGATTTCTAAATTACATCTTTCTGATCCAGCTACCAATGAAAACAATTGCATGTTATACATTTTTAACTATATAAAAATACACTGGATCATAATTTTCTGGTTAAAATTTTATGTAACAGCTACTTGTGATACTGCAGTTAGCTTGAGGCATCATAACAATACTAAATGCACTCAAGATGACTCCACATTTAGACAAACAATCCTGAATCTTTAACAGTAATGAAAGCAGAAGGAAAAGAAGGGAATTCAGGCACATTATCACAGCTGCAAGGGATAGTTGCTCAATAGTACTACTACTGTCTCTTTCCCTGCACATGCAGAGTTATTTCTTTTCTATTATAAAATTTTGTAGTTACAGGAACTCTAGTCAAAAATCTTAAAATCTTACAAACATCTTTTTCTATTCAAAGGATTCAGTGACCTGGAATTAGCTCCAGTTGTTGAAGCATGGTGCTAATAATGCCAAGGTCACAGGTTCCATCCCCTCATGCATCATTTACTTAAGAATTGCACTTGATGATCCTTCTGAGTGCCTTCCAAATCAGAATACTCTGTGATTCTGCAAAGACACCTAGATTTCCAAGCACTAAGACACTCTAGGTACTTCAGAAACTAAATTCTTCAGGCATAAGGGAGAGAGTACTGTATTTGTTCCACAGAAGATATGACTCTACTGGTAACAGCTACATTCTAAAACTACTGCCTTATTTTTCATAAATGATCTTACACACAGAGCAACTCTAGCATGCTTTTTATTTCTTGGCTTGTTTTGGTGCCCCACACATGGAAAAAATATGATCTGATAAGTGATACCAGATTCTGAATGAAGCAAACAGATTTTGTTAAGTCCTTAGCCTAGCAATAAAGGGGAGAGCATAAAAAATAAATTTTACTATCACAATACCTGCATGTAGCCATATTTGAGCCAGAGTCATCCAAGGATGCAGGGGACCTTGTTTAGGGGCGCTGCTTTGCAGGGAAGAGGCAACCTCGGACAATGCTTGCTCCACTCTGGAAGCTGCTATTGATGTGGCATGGACTGAGCCTGTAGAAGCAATAAACAGAATTTACCAGTACAGAAATAATGAAGGCCATATACATGGCATAAAACATTTAATTGCAACCCTTTCTGTAAAAAGCTGTACCCCAAACTCAATATTTAATTTACATTTACCATCTTGAAGAATTTTTTAAAATGCCAGATTAATTTTCTTATGAAAGCTTTTACATTGGTCTAAAACTCTATATAAAAAACACACTAAACTTTGGTAACTGTACCTGACTTTTTTTGGGTTGCTACTATGAATACTCTATTAAACTTGACACCTCTTTTCTGGCAATGTGCAATCCAAAAAAGGTTTGTGATGGTATCATACACTGTAGCCTTCAGGTTGCTGCATTCACTTTGATGTTAGTATTAACTACATCTTTCCACAGAGTGCAATTAGAGGATTATTTTACAATAATAACAGAACAAAAAAGAGAACTAAAATACACACAGCAATCATACACGCACTATCACAGATACACCATTAAACTGCACTGAATGTAAAACTTGTCTAATCAAGAAGGCTGAGTTAAAGTACCTTGTGGCAAAAAAGTTCACAAAGGTTTTTTTTTGCATAGAAAACATTCCCAGAGCATACTAAGGATAACTCTCATAAAGTGTATCATTTCCAAGTCAGATTAGAATCTCATTGGCAAATAATAACCTTTTCAAAGTACTGGAATTAAAAAGCTTCTATGACTAGAGAATATCTAATGGCAACTGTACTTTGGATAGTCAATTACTGCCAGCATATTTAGTCATGACTTTTTTTTAAATCAAGACCATGAATGTTTTAAACCACACTCCTTCTTGTCAGCATATCTCTAGTTGTTTTATAATTACAAATTACAAAAGCTCATACTGATTAGGCTTGATTAAAAAATAAAGGCAGTAAAATATTCCATAATGTATCAGATGAGAAATTGTCTATTTCCATCACCATATCCATAATGATCAACAATGGCAGACACTCCAAAAGAAATTATTGAATCTTGTACAAGTTGAACTGCACCCAAAACCTCGTCCTCATCATTACAAGTTAAGAAATAAATAAAACCTTCGCTCTCAATATCACAGGTTTTCTAAGAATTTTAATGAGAAGAGATCTGTCACATGAAACATACATTTTTAAGTGTGACAAGATAAATCAGCAAACCAGAAAGCACCAGAAATTCCTAGTACACAGATCAATAGGAAGAGGAAGTTAGTGTGAAAGTATGCATCACAGTTCCCTTAATTGAAAGAAACAAATGAAAAGCAGCACAGGACATAATTAGCATTTCATGTCATTATGCACAAGGATTTGCCCTGGATATCTGAAACAGTGTCTGGCAGTAGAGTTTGCTTTTCTTTTTACTGGCTGAAGAAACAACTCAAAGTCCAGCCTGCACAGCTGAACATTCACTATAGCTTTTGTGTTCCCTATTTTAAAGCTTAAATTCAGAAGAAATTTAAAAGGGAAGTCTAAGCAAGAAGCACACGGAGTGTGTTATAAGAAAAATACCAGCAAGTGTACCAAAAATAAGCACCAGTCACGAGTAACCCTGTTCTTGTCTGACAGCCATTTCTGTACAGCACATCACTGCAGCCTGGCACTTGTTAGCCTTCCAGGGACTAATAGTGAAAGCACCTTCTTCTCTCCAAAACAATTGGTAAAGAAAAGGTGCAATTCACTGCCATAAAGGAGATCATCTAACCTCTTCCTTTGGAAAAGCAAGTATGCAATTTAGTGTTAAAAAGAGCCTATATTTTTTATTATTTAAAGCAAAGACTCTGGCTGCTAGCCAGGCCACAAGTAATTTCATAGAGAAAGTGTGCTGTTGGATTTTAAGCTTCCAGTATTTAACCATAAAGCACATATCATTATACATTATTAAAACTTTTTTAAGATCAATTTACTTATAAAAAAGAACTATACTATGATAAGATACTTTTGAGTTTCTGTGCCATCTGTATTAAGATTAAACAGAGTGAATACTGAATGCTTCCTACCCTGGACCTTATAGAGTGGCATAAAAAGAGGAAAACAAGTTTAAAAGTATTTCTAAAATTTTTCTTTGAAGTGGTATAATTCAAATTGTTTGTATTTTCTCTTTAGGAAAAAGGTATCCCTTAACATATTGCAGCAATTACTTCTCTGAAGAAAACACACACATTTATAAAGCAATGACCAATCAGGCACCTTTCAGGGACATTGCACTGATGCTAATAATTTAACCTATAAAGCCCTTAATACTTCTTTAGTACTGCACAATTAGCTGTCATCTGACTCATTTCTGGCTCTTTTTGTTAAAACACATTTAGTAAGCTTTTCATTTTATAAACTAAACACCATTTAAAGATATTGTGTACTAAGAAGTTTTTTCCTACCTTCCTTCAAATTTTACTCAAGTATTTTCATATTAGAACTAACTTAACTGTACCTTGTCCTAACCCAGGATGTCCTAACAGGTTCAGATCTTTGTATTCACATGAAAATCCTAAAACCTACAGTAATTTCAGCTACAACTGGTAAAGATACGAAGTGGCTCATGAGAAGCTGAGAGTAACAAGTATGTCTTAGAGACTCCTTAAGGCTTTATAGATCCTATGCAGCCAGTTTATTTGGAGGTTCCCTGCTTGTTTTGTCACCAGCTTGTTTTGTCTGCTCTCTTGTGTCTGTCTTATCTGCATTTGGCTTTCTTTGGTTTTAGGTCAGGACCCACAGCCAAACACAAACATACCCTCACTTTCACTTACAATTCACTGTGTTGCAGCTTCCTTCAAATGCTCAGATAGAGTTGCAGCAATTTCTCATATAAAATTTTAATGATCTTTCATGCACAATAAGACCTTTGCTCTTCCTAGGTAACTTCTATACCTGCTGTTATAGCATGACATTTGAGACTCAAGAAAAAAATTCCCTCCATATAACACAAGCAGCAAATATTCATTTTGAAATAGAGATCATGAGGCCTGGAAAATTAATATATCACCAAAATAGATCCTGGCTACTCACTTTCATTTGTTTAGCCTTGTTCTGAGGCTTGTTTATACTAAAAATGCCAAGTGTGAAACAGGACTGTCTTTGCAAGACCTAGAATTCAGTAGTTAAATGGATTAACATCTGGAATCACAATCACATTGCAAAGTGTGACAGAAGGTCTTAACCATGACAAAATATTCCTAAACCAAAAAGGTATAACCTCCCACTCAAGTTTCCTATAATGGCACTTGTCCAGAATCTAGTTTCTTCTCATCATGCTTACATCCTATCCACAACAACCATGCTGCAGATTCAATGTTTCAACTCAATGTCAAATAGAAAACCTACCAAGAGCCTTGAACAAAAACAATTTACCCAAGACATTAAGTCATGTCACAAAAACCTTTCTTTTCCAAGTCATACCTACAGTCAAACTTTTGTGAATAAAGTATCTAATTTATTCTCTTCAGGCTTTTATGAAAAGTCCACATGAACTCACCCATTAAATACCATTTACAAATACCACACACCCTATGGAAATGAGCATGTCATGACTTCTTCAGTTCTTTCCTTGGTCATTTCCACATAAATTCTTCACAATGCAGTGTAATGGACATAAACTAATATGTGGACTCTATCAGGACCATGGCATGACAGCTTTGAGAAAAACAAAATCACTCTACTATGTACATCAATTTCCCTTCTGAAAATTAGTAATAGAATGGACTGTCATCCTTCATGGAACATGTTCATATCAACTCACAAAACCACTGTGGCAGGGTTTCTTTCTATGCCATAAAAGAGAATGAAAAAATAAAATGAATAAAAGAAAAAAACTCAATAGTATTACATTCATCCCATTGTAAACATTTCAATATTTACATGAAGAAAAAATGCTTTAACTGCAATGCTCATGCAGGAGAAAAGATGAAAACCCCCATGACTCAACTTTGCATGCACACAAAGAGCTGGAAGTAAGAACATTAGTAGTGTGACACACAGAGAACTGTAAGAAAAGCAATTACATAATACAAAGAGGCAGCACCTTCTGCAGGACTAATACATCCCTGAAGTGATGCATTTGATAAGACAGACTGGCAGATTTAGCCAAAATTCACAGTTTTTTAAATCTAAAATTCATTATGAGTCTGAGATACCTTTCACAATCACAAATTACAAAGCTATCTTATCTTCTACTACAAAGTTGTGCATGGAGATGACAGTAGTCAAGTAAGGACAGCATCATTCACAAAGCATCCTCTCAGCTCTTTGAAAAAGATTTTCTGTGCTTAGTCATTGTCAAACATGTTGGCTTATGTATCATCTTACTTTTCTCTCCTTCACCAAATTGATCCCCTGTACTACCCAAAAAAATTTATGCAAAGGTAAAGTAATCAATGAAAAATATAAGTGAATGCTATGAACACAGCTTTATAAGGTAACTGGTTAGAGAAAAAGAATATTAATTCATATCCTGATTAAAACAGCAGTTATTTTTATTGATCTATATTCTTCATTCTTTCTTATATAGTCTGCTTTAATAATTTCATAATTTCAAAGTGTACTCTTCATTTATTTTACAAGCAAAACTTGTACCACAAAAGAAAGTAGTACCTTATTATGAGTCATAACAGTAGTTGCAGTATTGTGTTCTGGATCGCAGTGCTATAATACAATGTACTGCCAGTTGGCCATTGTGTTACACAAGACCTGCCTAATATATCTTTATTTGCAGTCCTCTAGAAATGAATACTGCCTCTTTAATTATTAAATGCAAGTGTTAGTTGAGTGCATTCAGGTCTCGTATGATTACAGCCCTTAGGGTGACTGAATGGGCAAAGAGCTCCAGCCTTGCTTTACACACTGATGGACAAAACATGTATGGCTTGTGCTACAGGAAAAGGTGATTTTAGTCCCTCAGAAATTAATAGCACTGCACAGTCAATACTACTTACAAACTGAAAAAAGGGAGTAAACCCCATGAAAGTAAGCATCTGATGGATTGCCTTTGGATAGATCAAACCACAAATTA